CCTTTAATTTATTTTTTCGAAAACTGAAAGGAATTAAAACTTTAAAATATGTGCATATTCTAGATATTATTGCCATATTTATTTTGCCAAAATTTTAATTTTTTAAAAAAATTACTTTTTGAGATATCATCCGAAAATTATAACGGGTGCTGTAATCACCTTAATTAATTCTATAAATGGGTATAAATTTTATCATCTAGCTTACTTGTAACAAATTTTTACTGTAACTTTACATTTTAAGACATGGCCATATTGGCTAATTTGATGATAATAATAATGCCATCACGTAGTTTGTTTACTTAGTTTGAAACAAACTATAAAAAATATAATAATTTAATTTTGTATAATATGTACCAACTACATATTTAAAAGTAATTAAAGTCATTACTTGAAATTAGTGAAACGTGACATATTTAGTAAATAAATTTAATTAAATTTGTTCCAGTAAAATCTAAATAATTTATTTTTGAAACGAGCGGATCCAGCAACATGCCGACGATTATTTTTTAACAAAATAAAATAAAATAAATGTGAGTTTTTATTGAAATTAAAACGTATAGTAGTTATTAATAGATCTAATATTATGAAAATTCCTGGTACATTTTCAACCATTTTCAAAATATTGGAAGTTAATAATTTCGTCCTTAATAATTTCCTCAAAAACTATTGATAGCTAAAAACACGAATCATTTGTGTTATTTTACTGTCATTATTTCTTTTACTTTCGTAGTTTCACACTGCCATACTCGCGTATCGGGGACAACACTAATGTTTTGTAGTGCGCATGTCGTACGCATTTTATTTGTACATCGGTCTTCTTTTGACAGAGTAGGTGAGCTGTATCCAGGCCGTTGGTGTTTATGCCGGTCGGCGTTGCTAGGTATGGATTAAAATTTTCTGGTAGCGGCGAAGCCGCCACCCTACGAGAAGTCGTTGCTTTGTCTTCTTGTTGTCACGGCATTATTATTATTGGTTCATGTATGTGAAATTTGCTTCTAAGGTTTATAAAACACTACTGCTAGTCACGGCGTAAATGAAAACAAACAAGACGCATTCACACAAACACCTCCCACCACAGCAATTACAAATCAATAGTATTGTCCCCGATACGCGAGTCACTGCCATCATTTAAGAATATAACACATAGTCTACTGAAGAAGCTTGGATTTCAATGACATCTCGTGGTATGAGTAACACCACATTTTCCATATTAGTATAAAATTTTGACATATGTATATGTAGATGTCATTACATTGAGTTTTCAATTATAGTGTAGTTATTTGTCCTTATTAGTTATTTATGAATTCAGTTGCGAAATGCCTTATTTTATGTAACGAGTGAATATTTGCGGAACGAGCAGAACGAGGCCCGCAACATGAACGTGTTATATAAAACATTTATAGAGGTGCTGCAATAGGTTGTACAAAATAACCGGAAGAAGCTTATAATAACTAGATAGGAAAGTCATGTGTTGAACACATCAGATTTTTCTTGTTCTTTTCTTAAAAAATCGTTGTTTTTTGTTTAAAATAAATGTGTATATATTTTTAATATATAATTGAGGAGCAACCATACAAAAGTCCACTTTTTACAGATATGCAGAAATTTGTACCTAATGATTATATCTACCATATATTCATTTCAATTTGACCAAATAATTATAAATTCAATATTATTTGTAGACATGTTAAAATTCATAAAATAAACAAATAGCAATAAATATTTAGTTCATTAAAAAAAAAAAAATGGGAATAAACCTATATCAGTCCTAGCAAACGTCTTGGATCCGAGTGGCTGCTGTATGATGTCAAATATTTGCATAAATTCAAAAAAAAAAATTACACGGCATATTGTATGTGATATGAAAAGAATAATACTACAAAAAAAAAATTATTCTAATACTGTAACCTAATACCAAAATTTTAAATTCAAAAGTGCTGAAGTACCTAAGTATATTCTTAAAAAAGGCTCGAAAGAAACGGAGTTAACTGTGGAAACCCTCGACCTAAGAAAACCTATTGAAGAAAAAATGAAAAAATCCTTACGAGGTCTGCTCTTGAATAATTTGGTGAAGTGTGGAAAAACAATCAGGATCTGGTATTCTATAAAAATCTATTGGACAACAGTGAAAACGATAACTTACCCAATGAAACTGAGGAGACTGAAAATCTTTGCGATTGTTAAGAAGAAGATGTTGGGCTTCATATTTGATTTTTTCAGCGAGTATTTTTTTACATTTTATGAACTTATACTTACTGTACTTAGGGCCGTTTGCACAGGTTATACTTAGCGAAAGATAAGTAATTCTTAACTTTAAGGTAACCTTAAAATCATAATTTCATTTGCGCGGATGACAAACTGATTCCTAAGGTGGACCTTAACTATGTTTTACCAAAGCCTAAGATTTTTACCGCTTAAAGTTCTCCTTAACTCATCTTAACCTCAATGTGCATTTATTATTCATTATTATTATTATTATTATTATTATCGTGTTTTATAGTTTTAAGTTTTGGTAGGTGTATATTTTATATTTTGGTTGGTATGTTTTATAGATGGATGAAGGATTTATTTATTGCCTTTTGTTAGTTTTCTTTGTGACTAGTAAAACAAAAATGAACAATTTTATTCACGACGATGATGATTTGGACGAGCTAAATTTGATTATTCATGGAATACCCCGATGGATTAATCATCAAAATAAATATTTCAATAGCTGGGATGATTTGACATTCTTTTCGCGATTTAGGTTGACAAAAACTACCGCCTTAAATATTTTAAACCTTATTGAGGCAGAAATCGAACAACCCTATGACTTGTAAGTATTTATTAACCACAATTATGATATAAATTACAATAAGATTTGTATTTGTTTTTAAGTAACAACAGTGTGGCCCCCATGAAACAGCTATTGATTTTTTTAGGTCTATGTGCCACATGAACACACTTATCTTGTGTTGCTGACTTTGGAGGTTCACATATTTCAACAGTATCAAGAATTGTCAAAAGGGTTGGACGAGCTTTGGCTGGAAAAAATGGAATATTTATTAAGATGCCATGAAACATTGGAAGACATTACAAGTGCCCAATATGAATTTTTTAAAATTGCTCGTTTTCCTCGTGTGATAGGTGCTGTTGATGGCAGCACCCATATAAAAATCCAATCACCAGGTTCTTAATCAATTTATATAAACATTTTAATTTTATTCAAACAAAATAATTTTTAAATTCTAAATATTATCCATATCTCAAAGTGGTCCGAAGTAGATTAAAGGGAAGTAAAAAGCTCAAAGTCTGTCGACCACATAAATTTAACTTGCAACCTAATAAATTTATGTGGTCGACAGACTTTGAGCTTTTTACTTCCCTTTAAAATAATTTTTATTAGGAGGGGAAGATGCAGAGGTTTTCAGAAATAGGAAAAGGTACTTTTCTGTAAACGTCCAAACAGTGAGCAGCGCCAATTCAAAAATCTTAGATCTAGTAGTAAGGTGGCCAGGTTCTTGCCATGATGTTACTATTTTTAATAATAGTCAACTAAAGAGACGATTCGAGAACAATGAGTTTCAAAATTCAACATTGTTAAGTAAGTTTACTAAATAAATATTGTAATCTAGAAGGACTGTTTTTATTCACTTGTTTTCTTTTAAATTAATTGCAATCTGTTTTATATTTTTTAAATGTATTTGTAGTATATTTGGGAAAAATAGAACTATTTATTGTATTATTAACTTTTTTTTAGGCGACAGTGGGTACAACCTTAAAACTTATTTGCTGACTCCTTTATTACGACCAAATACACCTGCAGAGCATATAAGGTCTAGAAATGTAGTAGAATGACAAATAGGTGTATGATGAAGAAGATTTCCCCTTCTTGCTTATGGATGTCGTTTGAAGATGGAAACAACTTTAGAGATAATAGTTGTCACTGCATTCTGCATAAGATTTATAGGGAAAATAACGAAGCAGATCCTCCCGATCCAGAAGATTTGCAAAGATTCTTGCATATAACGGAGCATGATGATGTTCCACATATTGTTGTGTAAGATAATTACCATAATAATAATAATTATGGATATCAAACCAGGCAGGAAATAATAAATTATTTTGCACTATTAGATTAGTTTTTTTTTCTTTATTTCAATGATAAGCACTCATAAAATATTAGTTTTCTTTTAGCCTGTGTCTTTTTTTTAATTTTGTACAATTGCAAAAATGTATGTGCGATTGTATTTTTTTTTTAATATACTTATGGGTAACAATAATGTATTGTTTTATTATTTGTTCCTTGCAACTAGAGTTTCCAATTACTAATATTTTGTATTAATTTTCGTTTCCTAATAAAATGAATATTTTAGTAATAGTATTGGTGAGATGAGGGTATACACAATTATTAAAATATTTTATAAGTATGAGACACTCCCTATTTAAGTTATCTTTAAAGCTTCTAATATAAAGGATCCGAATTAACAAAGATATTGAGTGTACACTCATCTCTTCATCCATTATACCTATAACACAATTATATTTCAAAAACGAACATAATTTTCATTGAAAACTTTAATTATAGCAATTTACAAAAATATATTAATTCATATTGGATTTTAATTTTTTTAGTTCTACTTCTTTTGTTCCCAGTTCATTAATAATTTTTTTTTTAATTTCAAATAATTCTTCTTCTTTCTCTTTTTCTTCTTTGATCCTCCTTTTCATTTTGGTAATATTCCTGTTTTATTTTTGCCAATTTTAAATATTCCTCTGACAATTGTGAGGAATTCAATTGTTAGATATTTGGTCTCCTTCTTTTGGACCAGTTATTTTGTAGCGACTCCGATGTGCGTTTTCTCAAATTATTTCCAGAGAAATTGGTGCTGTCAACCTAAATTAAAGGAATCTCAATTTACTATTTATTGTGAATTATACATCATTACAATTTTAAGTGATTAACAGTCCAAACTCATACGTTTATAACTTGATATTGAATATGAAAGTATTTTTTGCTTTCAATAAATAAACTTATGGATGTAGTTGGAGTACCAATAATCTCTTCTACTGTTTCCTCCTAAAAGAAAAGTTTCATATTTATAATTCTGTAATCATGGAATACATTTAAAATAAATTGAAAATGAAATTATATAATCTACATTTTTACTTAGGTATTCATGAATCTGTTTCTTATATAAATTTATAAATCACTCACTAAAATTGTACTATCTGTGTAGGAATGGTCCCCCAAATAGCTACAGGATGGTACAGCATCTGAATCAAATTTATTTGGGAGACCACACAGTTTTGGGATTTATAATATCCAATATTATTCAGATCGATGAATCTCTTACTACTGATTCTGGTCCTTCTCCTCCTGTTCTGATTATTTCCCTTCTCTCCTGGGCAACTTCTTTTCATGTATTTTTTTTAATATTGTCATAGTTTTTTTAATGAATCTTTTGCCCTAGTATCAGCATCTGTTTTTTTATTTTCTGGTACCCCTTTGTAATTAAAGATGATATTTAATAGGGTTGATTTTTCTCGCCCGGTAAAATTTGGATTCCTCTTTTTTTTTGAAATATCATCATCCATTTTAATTTATATTTTTACACTTTCACTTTTCAAAACCAAACGAAACAATTCCCTACCCTTAAAAATGTATGTCAATTGTCATGTCATATCTGTCTAGTTACGAATTAATCAATCTGAATTTCCCTAAAAGTAACTAGATTTGGCGGAGTTGCCACGTCTTCTCATTAGTTAGCTAAGTTTTCGTTAAGTGGCACCTTAGCAAACCATCCAAAACTTAAGGTGCACCTTAAGTTTAAGTACACCTTAGTTAAGATACAAATTTAAGGTGGACAGGTGCAAACGGCCCGTAATATTTTTCTAAATAAAGACGAGGCATTGAAGCAAAAAAGTTCTGAATTTTTTAGACTAAAGGATCGAAATGCGGTTTTATGCATTTGTTTCCAAAAATTTTTTGAAAAAAATGTCTTTACTTTTTATCTTATATCAACCGGAAATTGCATTGTTGCAGTCAAAAATGCATTAAAAAAATGCATTTTTTGAAACGGCTTCTGGAAGATTTAAGAACTTTGTAAATAAGAGTCAGAACTGGCCCAAATCGGGTTCCCGGGGGTTTTCAAGGTCGCTGATTACGATTATGATGTTTAAATTAACCCATAGCCGAGCTGGAGCTCAGGAACGCCGATGAGCGTCATCTCTGTGGAACTCTCCCGAAATTCAAGCGGAGAAGGAGAGAAACTCGGCGCCCGGGGGTTTTTTGGGTCGCTGAATTTAAATATGGCATCGGAGAACACCCCTCGGACACCTGGTGTGTCGGAACGTGGACGTGGACGTCATCACCGAGAGTTTTCCTCACACAATCGAAAAAGACGAACCGAAAATCGTTATAGGGTTGCTTTTGGGGCACTGAATTCAAATGTGGCATCGACACACCCCCCTGACACATGGTGCGCTCAAACCTTGAGGTGGACGTCATCCCCGAGAATTATTCTGACAAGATCGCCAAGAACAACCCGAAAATCATTGTAGGGGCATTTTTTTGGACGCTCGATATAAATTTCACGTCGAAAACGATCCCCCAAAAACCTAGTGCACCGAAATCTAGCCCTGAATGTGGTCTCCGAGGGTTTTCCTCACACAATCGAAAAATACGAACCTAAAATCGTTGTGGGTGGTTTTTTGGGACGCTGAATCCGAATTTCACATGAACGACCCTCCCAACACCTGGTGCACCGGAACCTCGGGCTGATCGTCGTCTCCGAGGGTTTCCAGACACAATTGCAAGAGACTAACCGAAAATCGTCTCATAATTTCCCACATTCATTGATGTGTGTCTCTCGCCTGGGGCCCTCGAAAAAGTCCATCTTCCAATTCTAAATGCCGGGTTGAATGTATCTAAAAATTAAATGAGGTAAAGTAAAGTTACAGTTTGTACAATTTGAGTTCAATAAAAATTTTTTAAACGCCAAAATAAATAAATGTTGACTTTCTATTCATTCTATTTCTTTCCTCCTCACATAATTTAACTAGAATCAACAATTTCACACAGTTATATCATTAATGAAGTAATCGTTTTTTGTTCAGAATTAATTATTAACATATCTATTTCTGGAAAATTAGGCGAATATGGGTGTTTTCATAATAAAAATTCAGGACCATTTCACCATAAATTATTTGCAATTAACTCAGAAGGATATTGTCAGGGCCGGCTAGAGGGGGGCAGCCAGGACTAATTCCCGGGGCCCGGGCTCAAATGGGGGCCCGGCTAAGAGGGGCCTGGTAGCGAGGTATTTGTTACTTTGTTACTTTCAGAAGTTTGACACAAGAGGGGGGAAGTTCTTAGTTGAGGACCTTTTTTTTACAGAAATTCAAATAGAGGAGGAGAAATTTTTGCTTGAAGACTTTTTTCTTTTTTTTGGAGAAATTCAAGTAGATCCTAATAAAACATCGATAGAATTAGGGACGATAAATGTTGGATCAGATAACTGTAAATTATTAATAGGACTCTAGTTACTCTATTTGCTCCGTGCGAAGTCATAGAAAGGGAAGCATAAGCGATACTAGCGCTAGCTGCATATAATTCGTGCATTTTAGGGCGATATTTTGTAATTTTGGCATATCAAATACACGTATACATTTTACTTTTTTCTCAAAAAAGTAGGTAAAAACACAAAAAGCAAACGGAGTTGCTGTGTTGAAAATTGTACAAATACTAGCAAAAAAAAAAACAGTGAAACTTATATAAAAAATTTCACTAGCAAAGTGGAAAGTAAATCAAAGAAATAAATGGATAGGAGTACAATAAGAAGAAAAATTACCTTTAATTTTGTGATATTAACAGTAATGCTGGAAATAGTAGACATCAGAAACTTGGAAGGTTTTAAATGAACAATAAATTATCATTTTACGATGTTCTTTAATATCCCTTTATTCTTAAATGTTCATTCAGCAAGGACTAGATTTCAAGATTTCTGCCTTTGATTATAATATGTGGCTGGAATGCAATTTTGTGACTTACTGATGGGAAACCAGTTTTAATCATTCATTCTGTTTTCTTTCGAACAAAAATGAAAATATAAATACGATCCTTTTCTATACATTTTAATTTCATATTATTAAATGGTATTTTTTTATTTTGACAGAATAGGCTAATTCTTCAATGACAACTTATTAGACTTGGGCAACTTCTCATACATTTTCCAGTAAATACTATTGCCTGTTCATATTATATTATTGATTTTTATTGATTATACATAATTTTCTTTAATTTAAGCGGGAAAATGATATAATAACAATAAATTAATGTTTTACTTGTTTTACAAATCCATATACTTTTATTAAAACTAACATATATACTTTTTATTTACAAATTCTATTAAAAATTGGATTTGTCAGTATAGGCAGAAATAGTCCTTTAATACCAAAACAAATTGGCGCTGCTGTCGAGCGAATATGAGTACTCGGCAAATTCGAACAAATCGTAGGTAATATTATTGCGTCAATATGAAATACAGGAATGGTTTTATTTAAAGGGCGAATAGTCAAAGTTACAGCTCCATTGTCTTCCGTTTTAGTTGAGTTAATGCCGTGAATGGAAACAGGTAAGTTATATTTAGGAAGTCCTATGCGATTCAAGCATTTTTGCGAAATAAAAGAATTTTGAGAACCTGAATCTAAAATCACACGCAGTTTCTGAAAACAGCCTCGATTGTCAATAGCTTCAAGCAGAATGGTTGAGAGTAAAACTCTGTTATCAGAAGGAACGAAAAATGTATTATTAGTGATTGGATAGGCGATTCATTTTGTAACACCGGGGTACTTTAAGAGTAGGAAGCATTAAAATTAAGCGCATTAACAGTTGCATCTCGGAGAAGTAACGTATGATGTTTCTTCGAACATTTTCTACATGTTATTGTAGAACAACAAGCTCGTAGATCATGACAATTGCTTAAACAATTAAAACATAAATGTAAACTTTTGCAAAAGAGCATCCGATCATCGGGCGATTTATTCTTAAATTCGTTACAGTAATAAGGAGGATAGTTTGCATGACATAATGCATAATTTTGCGGTTGGGAAGACGTGGATTTCGAAAAGAAAGAATTTTTAACATTATTGACAGCTTCTCTTGGATGAGCAGAACTAACACTTGCGTTTTCATGAGCGGTACAACATGTTTCCAAAAAATTAACAATATCCTTTAAGACTGGAACGTCTTTAGATTGATTTATGGTGCATTTCAAAACTTGTAACTGTCGGTTTGTCTAAGCGTTTCAATAACATCATGGCAAATACAAAATCCCAATTTTCAATAGGGTGTCCCACATTTTTTAGGGCGGCGATATTTTCTTTTAAAGTTTCTAATGTGATAAAGCGTTTGGATTGTCAGAATTCATTCTTGGTATATTTTCCAAGTCATTCCAATGACTAGAGGCAAGGCGTCTGTTATTAGTATATTTATCTATTAAAGTGATATGCGATAGCATAATCAACGTCAGTAGGTTGTATGCGTTGAATCAAAGCTAATGGTGCAACTTGAAGAGTACCTTGAAGGTACGAAAATTTTTCTAAAGGTGAGATTGAATTGTTGTTATGAACTAAAGCATTATAAAGATCAATAAAAGGAGTAAAGGATTTTATATCACCGGCAAATTTATGTCATTCTAACTTTGGCAGCTTTGCGTTGGATTTGGCGTAGTCGTGTTGAACAGTTGTATCTAACGATGAAGTCTTGTCATCAAACAGTTCAGTAGGTATCGCGCGAATTTCAAAATACGCTGTTTCCAAAGGTTCCCTAATCTTATCTTTAAGATTTATGTCCCCAGGATCCGGTAAAGAGACATTACTAACGACATTGCCATAATATTTGTTGAAATCATTTCAATTTGAGTATATCTAACTTTAAATATGGCACGTTTATCTTTATTTGCTTCCGCAACAGTAACGGCAGCATGTAGCTCGTTTAACTGATTAATAACGGTTTATCTTAAGGACTTATATATTTTTATTTGTTCTGCCATAATAAAATCTAGAAGAAATGCGAGA